AAGAACAACTGATAATGATGGGAATGTCATTAGTTTTACAGATCTTTAAAAGTATTAGTACTGTACAGCCTCACAGAGCACCTAGCCTGGCTCATCACTCTACTGTTGGACCAGCGCGCGCACACACACACAAAATACACACACACACACACACACACACACACACACACACACACACACACACACACACACAGAAAATTAAAAGACTCAGCTCCTGGCCTCGTCCTGATTGGCTGACGGTAACGAGCAGCGTCTCTAAAGCGTGTGACGGCGGCTCGTGTTTCAGTCGGACAGAGCGCTGCTCGTCCTTCCAGCGGCCGCAGTGTTTTATCATGTGGTTCTCGCCGCGCTCGCCACAGCCGGTTAACGATCGGGAATGGAGCAGAGAGGACGGTAAAAACAGAGCTGCGGTGTGTGTGTGTGTTGCTGACCTCTCACCTTTGCCATGAAGTCCTCTCTGTAGGTCTGCTCCTCAAAAACATCCGTCTGCAGCCGCTCTGAGTTCACACACACACACACACACACACACACACACACACACACACACACACACACACACACACTGTGAGCACATTATAAAAGGTCTGCTACAGTTCAACCTTCACTTTAACCACATGCTTCCCAACCTGTGGGTGGAGACCCTCCTTGGGGTCCTCTGTTAAATCCAGAGGACGATTGAACAAATATATTTCTGTTTCATAAAGTTCCTTTCACCTTTTACATCTTTAGATCTTTTAAAATCCTTCAAATCAAACAGGAAACAGGAAGAAATACTCTTTTAAACTGTGTTTAACTCCACATCAAGGCCATAACCTGTGATGTGGGGTCACAGTCTGACTGTTGTGACCCCTGGACAAAGTTAATGCTCAGAGTTTTCATAGAAAAATATTGCCAGGTGTCTGAGAGCAGCTGAACTTCCTGCAGACAGTCAGTGTATCTGAGTGCGGATGATCCAGATCAGATACAGTCTATACTGAAGAAATATAACTATATGCAAGGAGCAGATTGGGCTCCATGGATTCTCCTGGATTTCAGTCTCTGACCGACATGGTGTTCAGAGAAACACCCACATTTTCTGATTATTATTATTACTGATTTCTTTTTAAATATTTAAAATAGAGTCATAAAATGAAATAGTGCTGATTTATTCTGAGAGGGGAGGAACTGCCAGCTGCTGTGGGATGTAAAAGTTTTGTTCCAGCTGTTTTTAACGTGAGTTAGAATCTGTTCGACAGCTCACAGTAAACAGCAGCGCCGCCTCTCTCTCTGTACTGTTTACTCCATGTAAGTCGTGTTATGTGTGTGTGAGGTGTGTGTGTACCTCTGCTGAGCGTGGCTCCGTTCTCCCTGTAGTCCTGGATCTCTGCGTCCTTCCTCACCAGCAGACCTCCCAGCTGCTCCACCTGCCGCTGCAGCAGGCGGCTCATCGCCAGCAGGGGGCGCACCAGCTGAGCGCACACCTGAGAAACACACAGGAGATCCTGTCAGAGAGAGACCGCCATGAGGTTTTAGCTGCTGCATCCTCCTCTACATCAAACTCAGTTACTAAAGTGCTTGAATCTACAGTCGGTAAAACCACGCACCAACACTGAACCATCACAGGTTTTAAGGCTGCAACAACCAACGCCGACACGGGGAGCGTACCAGTGTGACGGAGGCGGGGGTGCAGTGGAACTCCCAGTAGAAGGGCAGCCCTGCCAGCTCGCTCTTCAGCCTCATGCTGATGTCGCCGTCCTCCTGTCGCGTCAGGGAGATCTGAGCCTCGTCATCAGCTCGCTCTCCGCCTCCGGACAGACAGGGCTGGACCACCGCACACAGGTGGGAGAAGAACGCTTTGACGGGGGCTCGCAGGCGCCTGTTCAGCTCCTGGCGGATGACGACAAACAAACAGGAACTGATTCAAGGGCAAAAATCATCATTAAAGATCTTTAGTTGGAGAATTAAGAAGTGAATTTTATCTTTTCGCTGTTGGCAGATTTTATATAATTATATTTGATACTTTTTGGTACCGATGATCAAAAAATTTGAAATGCTGACGAACTTTAACACCTTTATTAATTCTTTTTGTCACAGAAGCTTTGAAAAGAAAGCAAGATGGCCGACGTCTGATGTAGGTTACATGTGCTTTATTAGTCCTTTATTGGAGTCTGACATAGACACTGGAAACAGATATTATTGGATATTATTGGTCATTATCTACAGATTGCAGAGCAGTAAGTTTTAACTTATTGAGAGCGTTTATAAGTTAATTTGAATAAAGTTTTTCTCAGGTTTAATATTGTTTGAAATCTCGTCTTTAATCATTTGTGGTTTTATCACAGAAAGTTTGTTTTGTTTTTCTGTATTTTTGGATTTGTACTTTCATTTGAAAGTGTGAGCAGTTTATTCTTGATCAGCTTTATGTGGAGTCAGTCAGCATGTGGACGTGTTTGTGCATGAAAACAATCATCGTGATGCTGCTTCCTGCAGAACTCCTGAGTCAAACAACGGTCATCATTTAGGAGAAGTAGGTACAGCGAGTCAAATCCTAACTGACCTGTAACTACAATTTTATATTTCCTGCTTTGTCTTTGCACCGATCTGTAATTTCATAAATGCATCTTTCCCTTTTTGTAAACAGCTGGTGTCTTAGCTGTTGGCCACTCTTTAGATTTTAAAATGGTGGCGAGATCCTCGAAGGCTGAAGTCATGTGTGAAATAAAACCCTGAATAACGCCTGACAGCAGGTGAAGGTGCAAAACTCAATCCTCTCCTGTTTTCTACAGACCTGTGCTCGGCTCTGGATGGCAGCTGAGTCCATCCTCTCCTCCCACACACAGGTCATGTCAGTCAGCAGGATGTGGTACGCCGAGTCTCCAAACCAGATCTTAGCGAGGAGCCGGCAGCCGCTGATGCTCACAGGAAGCCAGGGACGCTGGAGGAGGACGTCAACCGGGGCTCCGCTGACCTCCATCATGGCGGCAGGTACGAAACAGACTCACTACACGGAAAAGAAACACACACACAGTTTCTGAGAGAGAAAATATCTGTGGACACACAACTGAAGAGAAGAAGTCAAATACAACTCCCATGGTGCATCTCAGTGAGTAACATCCAATCACAGAGCTTCAAATCATGTGTATCCTTGTTAAACTGGAGAAACTTAATTAGGGTTCCAACTAATGATTACTTTCATTATCGATTAACCTGCTGATTCTTTTCTATAGCAACACATAAAAGGTACAGGATATAGGTTTGTTTATTTCTTAGAGTGCAGCTGATATGATGAATTGATCACCTGGAAATTAACCCTAGATTGTTCAATAAAGAAAATAACAACAGTAAGTAAAGGAAACACAGATATTCAATGTGGCAGATCAACACTGTGGTTTGGCTCTGAAAGTGGATGCCTATGAACACCCACACCCAAAACACAGTGTCACTTTCTTTTTCACCTAAACTCTTTTTTTATTTATTTTTTTTGAATCACTCACCCCCAAGGAATGCGCCCCCAAAGCCTGGACTGAGATCTGTTAAAGCCGCGACAGACGCCGTCCCTGCCGCATAATCACCACCTTGCCCCGGGGAGACCGCAGTGGCAGCTCCTGCGGGCTACCGGCTCCTCTCTGCTGATCTGTAATGGGGCTGTTTTTCTGGGAAAGAAAAGAGGTATTTCTCGTCAGTAGCCATTTGACACACTCTCGCGCGTTTCAGAGGGTGACTCATGCCAATTTGGAAATCGCAAAAATACCAAATCAGTAACTTTAAGACTACAATATACAGCCATACAAAGCTGGAAACGGATGCCAGCGGTTAGAGAGTGTCCGGGCAGGATGTTGCCCTGACACGCTCCGTTCTCGCCTGCGAGCAGAGAGCGTCACACCAAACCCCATTCATAAATCTCAGAGTTTAAAGTCTCCCCTTGCTTCTCAGCACACACTCGTTGTATATACCGTAATATTTTGAACCGTGTCTGCATCGTTAGAAGCTGCTCCTTAATTCGGCCACCAACTATCAGGTGCAAACAGTGACAAAATGTGTGGAAAAACACCCACATTTTTAGAGCTCTGTTGGAATAAATGCTACGGTTGACGTACAAAACAACAACGGAATAAACAGCAGTCGTACTGACATAAGTACAAGTGTATATGTCGTGTGTATTCAGAAACTGACAGGCTTTTAGAACTGACTTGCTAGAAAATTCAAGTGGAAAGAAGCCGGTAACGACAGAGGATCACACCAAACTGAATTCACAAATCTTAGATTTTTAAAGTTTCCCTACTTATAAGCAAATACAGCTGTGAGATAGCTTATTATTTTAAACCGTGACTGCATTTGTATGAGCTATACTTCAAGTCGGTGACACAATTAGCGATATTTATAATAAAAATGCCAACTTTTAATCATAAATGGCCCGTGTTGCTAATTCTTGACCGAAGAGGGGAGTTAGCTAAGAGTTTGTTTTGCTACGGCTGTGGATTTTGTCTGATATAACTAAACGTTGTTCAGTCATTATTCAGCCACAATATCTTATAACACATTTAAAAACACGATAAAATATGGAAAAACAAGTGTATCAGTACTTTAAATGTACCAACATTAGCTACAAGAGATGCAGCCAAATGCAGCTCCCGCGCCGGGTCTTGTTGTGTTACGCGTTACAACGACGACGTCAAACAACAGCGTGTTTCAACGGTTCCGCTTTTAACAGTCCGACTAATAAATGAAGAAATATCTGTCTGTTTTATGAAAAAAGTCTAGCGATGGGTTAAGATGTATGGGGGGGAAGTTATACATGTTAAACAATACCTAATAGAGCAACATTTATTTACTAATGTCTGTTATAGGGCATTACTTCCTTTACATCAACAACCTCCTGAACTAACCTGTTTTTACCGCTTTCTTAGAGCAAATGAAATCTAGTGAAGGTGTCCATATATTTAGGTACATAATTTGGCCAGTGACACAATGTTCTGCGCCCCAAAGCACTGAATCTGAAACGAAATTATCAAAAAGGACAATGTAATATTAATGTAGACTTTCAGCTTTAATTCAGTTAATGTAGTTTCACAAAATATTGCAGTAACCGTTTTTTATTTATTATTTTATAATAACTGCAAGAAATTATTGCCTTACTGTTTGTAACGTTAAATTTCCAGCAAAAAAAGAAAGAAAAGAAAGACGAATAGAAAAGGGGGAAAACTTCGGTCGTTCTCACAGCTCAGAGGCATGATGGGAATACCACTACTGCGCATATTCAGTTGGCAGGATGTATACGGAAGTAACCCGGAAGTTAGGAACTTAGGAACTTTTACACGGCAGGGGAAAAATTCCTACAGAATTGAGAAGGCGCCGTTCATGTTTATATTACGTTTATTACTCAAAAGTTGTTCATGATTTTTGCAACATATTACCGCTTTTGTCCCCCGCCAAAAGTTTCTGTTCACCGTAGTTAGAGACTGAAAAACTCGATCAGACTCAGCTTCAAGCCAAATTAACAGCTTCCAACACTAACTACATGTTGAACAGCTGATCATTGTTCAGATTCAAAAACTATAATAATGAACTAATAATAATAATAATAAAACAGTAACAGTACTGACATAACGAGTTGATATGCATTCTGTATTCAAACACTGACAGGTTTTTAGAGCTGAGTTTTTCTCGTTAATTCAGGTCAAAAGAAGCTGGTAACGACAGCTAATCACACCAAACTACTGATATTCATTCATTAACGTTTTCTGGCTTATAAGCAAATACAGTTATGAGGCAGCTCGTGGTTTTAAACTGTGACTGCATCTGTATGAGCTATTCTTCATTTATTAAACAAAATGTCACTTTTAATCATGAATGGCCTGTGTTGCTAATTCCAGGCTGAAGAGGGGAGTTAGCTCTGAGTTTGTTCTGCTGCCGCTGTGGACTTTGTCTGATAGAATTGAATATAGTTGAGTCATTATTCAGCCACAGTGTCTTATAACACATTTAAAGACACGATGAAATGTGAAAACAAGTGTATCAGTACTTTAAATTTAACATTCGTTACGACAGATGCAGCTCCTGCTGCTTCTTATTGAGAGTTACGGATTAAAACGCCGACGTCAAACAACAGAGCGTTTCAAAGGTTCCGGTTGTCTGACTATGAGCGGAGGAATCTCTGTCCCTGTAGACTTCTGCACAAACTCCTCCCCTCATCTGACTCACCTGAAACAAACCAGGAAACAGGTTGTAGTTCTTCTTCTTCACTAGAGAGAGACAGAGTGAAAAACAGACGATCAGATTCAGCTTCAGACCAAACTAACAGCTTCCTCTGAGAGAGTCCAGCTACAACACTGCTGCTTCCACCTGCTGATACTCCACACACTGAAGGTGAGTCGGATAAAAACCAGGACTCCAAAGTGAAAGTAAACTTCAGTGAAGTTAGTAGAGGGGGGAGGGAGCCATGACTGACTGTACTTTCTGTCTGCTGTGTTCGCAGCTTCTCTCAGGGACTAAATGGCTTCCAGATCAGAGGAGGATCTCTGCTGTCCGGTCTGTCATGAGGTCTTTAGAGATCCTGTTGTTCTGTCCTGCAGCCACAGCTTCTGTAAAGACTGTCTGCAGAGCTGGTGGAGAGAGAAACAAGATCGACTGTGTCCAGTTTGTAAGAGAAGATCTTCAAAGAATGATCCACCTTGTAACCTGGTGTTGAAGAACCTGTGTGAGGCCTTCTTACAGGAGAGAGAGCAGAGATCTTCAGAGGCTCTCTGCAGTCTGCACTCTGAGAAACTCAAACTCTTCTGTCTGGACCATCAGCAGCCAGTGTGTCTCGTCTGCCTGCATTCAGAAACACACACCAACCACAAATTCAGACCCATCGATGAAGTTGCTCCACAACACAAGAAGAAGCTTCAGGAAACTCTGGAGCCCTTAAAGAAAAAGTTAAATGATCTTAAACAAGTTAAAGTGAAGTTTGATCAAACAGCAGAACACATTAAGGTCCAGGCCCGACACACAGAGACGCAGATTAAGGAGCAGTTTAAGAAGCTTCACCAGTTTCTAGAAGAGGAAGAGGAGGCCAGGATGGCTGCACTGAGGGAGGAAGAGGAGCAGAAGAGTCAGGTGATGAAGGAGAAGATGGAGGCTCTGAGCAGAGAGATAGCAGCTCTTTCAGACACAGTCAGAGCCACAGAGGACGAGCTGAGAGCTGAAGACGTCTCATTCCTGCTCAGCTACAAGGCTGCAGTGGACAGAGTCCAGCAGCGCCCCCTGCTGGAGGATCACCAGCTGGGCTCAGGAGCTCTGATAGACCAGGCCAAACACCTGGGCAACCTGCCCTTCAACATCTGGAACAAGATGAAGGACGTGGTCTCCTACAGTCCTGTGGTTCTGGACCCAAACTCTGCTCATCCAGAACTCATCCTGTCTGAAGATCTGACCAGTGTGAGACGAGGAGAGAGTCAGAAGCTTCCTGACAATCCAGAGAGGTTTAGTTCTTACTGCTCTGTCCTGGGCTCTGAGGGTTTTAACTCAGGGACTCACAGCTGGGACGTCGAGGTTGGAGACAATACATACTGGATACTGGGTGTGTTAGAAGAGTCTGTCCAGAGGAAGGGAAATATACGGTCTGGATTATGGAGTATAAGGTTCACTGTAGGTAAATACTCAGCACAGTCACCACCAGCTTCATCCATTGTTCTCTCAGTGAAGAAGAAGCTCCAGAGGATCAGAGTGAATCTGGACTGGAACAGAGGAAAACTGTCGTTCTCTGATCCTGATACTGACACACACATACACACCTTCACACACACTTTCACTCACAAGATGTTTCCATTCATTCACACTCTTGTTAACCTCCCAGTGAAGGTGTTACCACTGAAGGTCTCTGTGACAGTGGGACGGAGCAGTTAGAGGTAAAGAGGATGATTATATTGATCATGTCTCTTAAAGGGAAAAGTCAGTGACTTGAACCTGTTAAACTGCACCTGTCCTCCTGCTCTCCTTGTTCCAAACACTCCTTTGCTTTTCTTTTACTTTCACCTCTGTTAATAATCTAGTAATAACAACCACTATGATAATAATAATGATGATCTGTTCTGTGTCACTAAGTGTGCTGGTGTTTCAAAATAAAAGCTTCTGATAAAACATTTCAAAGCTGTTTATTTGTGTTTTGATGAAAGCCTGTACAACAGAGCCCTGCATTAAATACTACTTTTATACTGAAGAGCTGTAAAGACGGTGACCCTTGTTCAGATGAACACTATGTGTCAGTATTAACAGTAAATCACAGAACATGAATTTAAAAACTCCTGCTGTTTTTCTGAATCAACCAGATAATTATCTGCACTGTAACAAATTCCTGTAAATTTACGGGGAAATTTCAACAGTACAATCCTGTTATCTTTAAATGCAGTATATTACTGTAAATTTCTCTCATGAAACAGTATTAAAACAGTAATTCACAGTATTTTTTGCAATGCATTTTGGGAAAACAGAGCGTGAGACACTTTGATTGGACAATGCAGTTTTGATTTTCTTCTATCTTCATCCTTCAAATGAACAGGTGAGAGCCTCACACATCACATTTCCAATCAAGTTGTATTGATTATCTAGTAGAAAACCATCAAACAAGACGAGTTCTTTTACTTGTAATGTGAGTCTTTAAGCTACTTTAAGCTTTTCTTTATGTTTAGGATTATTTGGCTAAAATGAAATGTATTCAGAGTGAATGTAAAGAGCATTGGACTCAAATTAAGTTTAAGTCATTTGAGATCAGAGTCTGAGCTGACACACACACACACACACACAAGCTAACAGTGAGTACTTTCAGCTAACGTTAGCTACTTGGATGTGCAGCTGTACAGGTGCTAAGTGGTAGAAAATCCTTGTGTTGTGATCTGAAAACGTCGGTAACACTGTGATGTTAACTGTCTCTCACCTGTTTCACTGGCAGTTTCACCGTGTGACAGAGAGAGGAGCTGGACTCTGATCCTGATCCTCCAAACTACAGGGAGACTCTCATCTTCACTTTACTTTGTGTTAGCATCTGCTAACTGCTCGTCTCCAAAGGACGCTGCTGATTTTATTTAGCTAGGGAGACTCTCATCTTCACTTTACTTTGTGTTAGCATCTGCTAACTGCTCGTCTCCAAAGGACGCTGCTGATTTTATTTAGCTAACGTGACTTTACTGTCGGGACTGAACTGACCGGGAGCTTGTTTGCTAATGTTAGCCAGCTAGCTAAACTGTCACCGTGTGTTACTTCCACTATTATTACACTGAACAGAGCAGAAATAACGTGGCTGTTCAACACGGTTCAGTTCTCCATCATAACACCTTATAATGTAGATAAGAAAAAGAAGCGGAGGAATCTCTGTACCTGTAGACTTCTGCACAAACTCCTCCCCTCACCTGACTCACCTGAGACAAACCAGGAAACAGGTTGTTCTTGTTCTGGAACAGAGGAAAACTGTCGATCTCTGATCCTGATACTGACACACACACACATACACACCTTCACACACACTTTCACTCACAACATGTTTCCATTCTTTCACACTGGTGTTCACCTGCCAGTGAACAAGAGTTTATATTTGGTTTGTTTTGCCTTTTTCATTTTACTCATGGTGTCATTTTTAATTTTTATTCATTTCTTTGTTATTATTTTTGACTTTGTGTGGAGCCATGAAGACCAGCATACTGATGAAGATCCACATAAAAACACATTGATCAATAACTACATGTTTGAACAGCTGATCATTGTTCAGATTCAAAAACTATAATAATGAACTAATAATAATCATAATAAAACAGTAACAGTCCGAACATAAGAACAAGTTGAGATGCATTCTGTATTCAAACACTGACAGGTTTTTAGAGCTGAGTTTTTCTCGGTTGTCTGACTATGAGCGGAGGAATCTCTGTCCCTGTAGACTTCTGCACAAACTCCTCCCCTCAGCTGACTCACCCGAGACAAACCAGGAAACAGGTTGTAGTTCTTCTTCTTCACTAGAGAGAGACACAGAGTGAAAAACAGACGATCAGATTCAGCTTCAGACCAAACTAACAGCTTCCTCTGAGAGAGTCCAGCTACAACACTGCTGCTTCCACCTGCTGATACTCCACACACTGAAGGTGAGTCGGATAAAAACCAGGACTCCAAAGTGAAAGTAAACTTCAGTGAAGTTAGTAGAGGGGGGAGGGAGCCATGACTGACTGTACTTCCTGTCTGCTGTGTTTGCAGCTTCTCTCAGGGACTAAATGGCTTCCAGATCAGAGGAGGATCTCTGCTGTCCGGTCTGTCATGAGGTCTTTAGAGATCCTGTTGTTCTGTCCTGCAGCCACAGCTTCTGTAAAGACTGTCTGCAGAGCTGGTGGAGAGAGAAACCAGATCGACTGTGTCCAGTTTGTAAGAGAAGATCTTCAAAGAATGATCCACCTTGTAACCTGGTGTTGAAGAAGCTGTGTGAGGCCTTCTTACAGGAGAGAGAGCAGAGATCTTCAGAGGCTCTCTGCAGTCTGCACTCTGAGAAACTCAAACTCTTCTGTCTGGACCATCAGCAGCCAGTGTGTCTCGTCTGTAGAGATTCAGAAAAACACACCGACCACAGATTCAGACCCATCGATGAAGCTGCTCCACAACACAAGAAGAAGCTTCAGGAAACTCTGAAGCCCTTAAAGGAGAAGTTAAATGATCTTAATGAAGTTAAAGTGGAGTTTGATCAAACAGCAGAACACATTAAGGTCCAGGCCCGACACACAGAGACGCAGATTAAGGAGCAGTTTAAGAAGCTTCACCAGTTTCTAGAAGAGGAAGAGGAGGCCAGGATGGCTGCACTGAGGGAGGAAGAGGAGCAGAAGAGTCAGGTGATGAAGGAGAAGATGGAGGCTCTGAGCAGAGAGATAGCAGCTCTTTCAGACACAGTCAGAGCCACAGAGGACGAGCTGAGAGCTGAAGACGTCTCATTCCTGCTCAGCTACAAGGCTGCAGTGGACAGAGTCCAGCAGCGCCCCCTGCTGGAGGATCACCAGCTGGGCTCAGGAGCTCTGATAGACCAGGCCAAACACCTGGGCAACCTGACCTTCAACATCTGGAACAAGATGAAGGACGTGGTCTCCTACAGTCCTGTGGTTCTGGACCCAAACACTGCTGGTCCAGGACTCATCCTGTCTGAAGATCTGACCAGTGTGAGAGGAGGAGAGAGTCAGAAGCTTCCTGACAATCCAGAGAGGTGTAGTTCTTCCTGCTCTGTCCTGAGCTCTGAGGGTTTTAACTCAGGGACTCACAGCTGGGACGTCGAGGTTGGAGACAATACATACTGGAGACTGGGTGTGTTAGAAGAGTCTGTCCAGAGGAAGGGAATCATATGGTCTGGATTATGGAGAATAAGGTTCAGTGGAGGTAAATACTCAGCACAGTCACCATCAGCTTCATCCATTGATCTCTCAGTGAAGAAGAAGAAGCTCCAGAGGATCAGAGTGAATCTGGACTGGAACAGAGGAAAACTGTCGTTCTCTGATCCTGATACTGACACACACATACACACCTTCACACACACTTTCACTCACAAGGTGTTTCCATTCATTAACACTGATGATAAAGTGAAGGTGTTACCACTGAAGGTCTCTGTGACAGTGGGACGGAGCAGTTAGAGGTAAAGAGGATGATTATATTGATCATGTCTCTTAAAGGGAAAAGTCAGTGACTTGAACCTGTTAAACTGCACCTGTCCTCCTGCTCTCCTTGTTCCAAACACTCCTTTGCTTTTCTTTTACTTTCACCTCTGTTAATAATCTAGTAATAACAACCACTATGATAATAATAATGATGATCTGTTCTGTGTCACTAAGTGTGCTGGTGTTTCAAAATAAAAGCTTCTGATAAAACATTTCACAGCTGTTTATTTGTGTTTTGATGAAAGCCTGTACAACAGAGCCCTGCATTAAATACTACTTTTATACTGAAGAGCTGTAAAGACGGTGACCCTGGTTCAGATGAACACTATGTGTCAGTATTAACAGTAAATCACAGAACATGAATTTAAAAACTCCTGCTCTGTTTTTCTGAATCAACCAGATAATTATCTTGTTATTGCAGAAAAACAGGTGAATCCATTACGCTTCAGTAAAAGTCACAATCTCCCTTTCAAAGTAAAACAGCGGTTACATTGATTGCAGTGTATTTACCGACTTCTTAGTGGCTAATTGATGGATATTTATTCTAGTTTAAACTCTGTGTGGTTGTTTTCATCAGTCAAATTACAGAACAATAGAATATAATGTGAAGATATTTGAATTGAAATATGTTTTAATTGAACTTGAGTTAGTAGAACATTGACAAACTTCCACAGACGGTGAGAAGATGTCAAAAAGAGATGCAGGCACACGCTGCTGTTCCTCTACACAACAGCAGGTGGCGCTGTGGTCAGGATTCAGCTGACTGCTGCTGTGTCTGCAGGAAAAGAAGGTTTGAAGTCAGTTCAGTCCCTTCATCAGATCTGTCAGATTTACTGTTATAAACACAAGTGATGCTGAATGATTAAATCCTGTCTGAGAAATCTGTAGAAACAAACTTCCTGCTTCATCCAACAGGAGCTGTGTTTAATATAACCCAGATTTATTAAAGGCCTTTACACCATGTAACGAGCTGAACTTGTCTTGTGTGTTTGTGTGAAGCCGTGTGGACACACTGTGCATCAGGCTACAGGCCTGTTGTTCTGTACATCCACGTTGTTGCTGACATTTTCAGCTTCATACCAGCAGCAGCAGTGTGACCTTCGACGTTTCTATAACAACAGGACACCCAATCATGTGGAAAACACAACAGAGCGGCGGTGGGGGGTGAGAGAATGGGAATAGCAGAGACTGAACCACTGAGACTGTACTGAAACTTTTAAAACTATCACTGTCATCACTTTAACCACAAACCTTTTTACAAGAGCTGCCACCAAAACAGCTTCTCTATTTGCTGTAAAAATACACTATGGTATATTAAAAAAATACATAAAACTTCATAAATAAAATACGAGGTTAAAGAGGTTAAACAGTATTGTATCTCCACTTGGTTAAACATTAAGCTGAACTGCTTCTGTTTAATTTATATTTAAATTACATAAACTACATGGAAGCACAAAACTCACTGATATAATCATTTTTAATCACATTATTAGTTTCAAACAATTATCATTATCAACTCTTTTAGATTATGGACGTATTTTAATTTGTTAAACAAATATATTTTAAAAATTGGTTTGTACACTGCACATACAGGAAGTGACGTAAATGTTTTCAATAAAGAGCAAACTTGAATTTGTTGCCATCATCTCATGACAGATTTGGTGAAACAATTAAGTATCTGTATTTGTGTATTTCTCATGCTTAAATAACCAAAACTGAGGGGCGTAATTCTGCGCAGGATTACTATTCTGTTCACAGGTGATGAGACGATTCTTGCAGGTATTTGGGGATTTCACTGAATATCCTCGACTGACTTTCAGAAGATCTCCGTGGAGATCTGAGGCTTGGAGTTCATTAATCTCAGAGCACTCCACAAACACTAAAACAAAGCATTGTTTGCTTTGTTGCCCGCGTCTTGAATGACTTCTATGTGCCTGACATACGTGGGGGTCGCGGTTATACATTATCTTGGAGCAGGAACTAAGGGTTATTGATGTGTGGCCGAGCATGTTTGCACATTGTGTTCCACGGCTGAATTATTGGCTTTTCCATTCTGCTAAACCCAGTTAACCCCCCCGTCTATCGACAACAGAGCTGGTTACCATAGAGTTTGGAGGAACTATAACTACCAGACAAATCTCAGCAGGCGCACCGACACCGACAGGAGATCCTCAACGTCAGCAGCAGGAATTTATAATCATGGTAAGCCTCTGCAGTTTCACGTCTCTCAAATACATTCACAAAGTACGAAAGCTGTTTCAAACGTGTGTTAGTGACATGGCTGCCACTAACTTCACCTATTTTCTATGCTGCTCCAGAGGGAATGCCTCTCTGTCCACGTCGGTCAGGCCGGCGTCCAAATGGGCAATGCATGCTGGGAGCTGTACTGCCTGGAGCACGGCATCCAGCCGGACGGTCAGATGCCCAGCGACAAGACAATTGGAGGGGGGGACGACTCCTTCAACACCTTCTTCAGTGAGACCGGAGCCGGCAAACATGTTCCCAGAGCTGTGTTTGTGGACCTGGAGCCGACGGTCATCGGTCAGATTATTGTTCTCTGATGCACATTTGTCCTGGAGGTTGAACCGGGTTTGAGAACGACATTGTTTCTTTGGTGTTTCCCAATTACAGACGAGGTCCGTACAGGAACCTACCGCCAGCTCTTCCATCCTGAGCAGCTGATCACCGGAAAGGAAGATGCAGCCAACAACTACGCTCGTGGTCACTACACCATCGGCAAGGAGATCATCGACCTGGTTCTGGACAGGATTCGTAAACTGGTGAGTTTGGCTGCAAACATTTCATTTCTGTCTGAAAGTATGAAAGGAGTTCTGATATATTCAGTGTCCTGCAGGCGGACCAGTGCACAGGGCTCCAAGGTTTCCTCATCTTCCACTCCTTTGGAGGAGGAACCGGCTCTGGCTTCACCTCTCTGCTGATGGAGCGTCTCTCCGTCGACTACGGCAAAAAGTCCAAGCTGGAGTTTGCAGTCTACCCAGCCCCCCAGGTGTCCACAGCCGTGGTGGAGCCCTACAACTCCATCCTGACCACCCACACCACCCTGGAGCACTCCGACTGCGCCTTCATGGTGGACAATGAGGCCATCTACGACATCTGCCGCAGGAACCTGGACATTGAGCGTCCCACCTACACCAACCTCAACAGGCTGATCGGACAGATCGTCTCCTCCATCACCGCCTCCCTGCGCTTCGACGGCGCCCTGAACGTGGACCTGACGGAGTTCCAGACCAACCTGGTGCCCTACCCTCGTATCCACTTCCCTCTGGCCACCTACGCCCCAGTTATCTCAGCAGAGAAAGCCTATCACGAGCAGCTCTCCATAGCAGAGATCACCAACGCCTGCTTCGAACCAGCCAATCAGATGGTGAAGTGCGACCCTCGTCACGGCAAGTACATGGCCTGCTGCCTCCTGTACCGCGGAGACGTTGTACCTAAAGAAGTAAACGCTGCCATCGCCACCATCAAGACCAAGCGCACCATCCAGTTTGTGGACTGGTGTCCCACAGGCTTCAAGGTGGGCATCAACTACCAGCCTCCCACTGTGGTTCCTGGAGGAGACCTGGCCAAGGTGCAGAGGGCCGTGTGCATGCTGAGCAACACCACCGCCATCGCAGAGGCCTGGGCTCGACTCGACCACAAGTTCGACCTGATGTACGCCAAGAGGGCCTTCGTCCACTGGTACGTCGGAGAGGGAATGGAGGAGGGAGAGTTCTCAGAGGCCAGAGAGGACATGGCCGCCCTGGAGAAGGATTACGAAGAGGTGGGAACTGACAGCGTTGGGGACGAAGGAGAGGAAGAAGGGGAGGAATATTAAGAGCTAAGATCTAAGCCACAATTGTATTTCAGTTGTCACAAAACAACAATATCAAACACTGATTCAACTCTTCAAAACAAGAACACAAAATTAAAAATAAAGCTAAACTTCAGCATGTGTCTGTTTTATTTGTGCTAAAAGTTGTTATAAAGGTAATAAAGTCTGTCAGTAACAATGAGAGGACGTGCAGGGACACAGCAACCACCACCTCCCTGTTGTGTGCTCTGTGTGTGCTCCTGCATTGAGAGTGTGTTTGTACACACACACACACACACACACACACACACACAAACACACACCTCTTGAACCACTGCCCCGCCTGTTAGGATCAGCCGACATCCGAGAGCAAAGACGGGTGAGAAAAGAGTAACTAGGGAAACTAAACGGGAGCAAGTTGTGTGTGTGTGTGTTACAAACACCTCTCAATGCAGGAGCACACACAGAGCACACAACAGGGAGGTGGTGTTGCTGTGTCCCTGCACGTCCACTCATTGTTACTGACAGACTTTATTACCTTTATAACAACTTTTGCACAAATAAAACAGACACATGCTGAAGTTTAGCTTTATTTTTAATTTTGTGTTCTTGTTTTGAAGAGTTGAATCAGTGTTTGATATTGTTGTTTTGTGACAACTGAAATACAATTGTGGCTTAGATCTTAGCTCTTAATATTCCTCCCCTTCTTCCTCTCCTTCGTCCCCAACGCTGTCAGTTCCACCTCTTCGTAATCCTTCTCCAGGGCGGCCATGTCCTCTCTGGCCTCTGAGAACTCTCCCTCCTCCATTCCCTCTCCGACGTACCAGTGGACGAAGGCCCTCTTGGCATACATCAGGTCGAACTTGTGGTCGAGTCGAGCCCAGGCCTCTGCGATGGCGTGGTGTTGCTCAGCATGCACACGGCCCTCTGCACCTTGGCCAGGTCTCTCCAGGAACCACAGTGGGAGGCTGGTAGTTGATGCCCACCTTGAAGCCTGTGGGACACCAGTCCACAAACTGGATGGTGCGCTTGGTCTTGATGGTGGCGATGGCAGCGTTTACTTCTTTAGGTACAAACGTCTCCGCGGTATCAGGAGGCAGCAGGCCATGTACTGCCGTGACGAGGGTCGCACTTCACCATCTGATTGGCTGGTTCGAAGTCCCA